CTCGGTGTTTCCTAGTACTAGCTGGAAAGACAAGCACCGACCCAAAAGTCACTCATGGGTGCCTAGTCATCCATGAAACTAGAAAAGTCCCTGGCTTCCCTTTTCCTGCCCCTTCTTCTCTGTACAGTATTTTTTTTTATTATCTGTCTTTCAGAAAGAAGCTTTCGAATTCCTATCCAGGAAGAACAAATTGACTCCAATTCTAGTCTCATCAAAAACTGACTCCACACTATGTTACTGTTTCCTGCATTTCTGAGCCGATCAACCATAACAAGTAATGTGACAGAGCATTCTGTGGCTATATGTGTGGATGTGTGTAACTGTTTAATGGCACTTCGGTTCCTTTGGGTCTCGTTGGGTGGCCCCTTTGGCATTAGGACCCATGAGAGTAGCTGTTCTTGGTGGAATCATGTGATTCTTTCTCTTAGGCAGATCCTGTGCACAGCATCCCTGTTGCCAGGACTGAGTTGATACAGTCCTCTGTGTGTTTCTAGCCAATTCTGTATGTAGTGATGGGCAGTTGTCTTTGGACTGAAGAAAGGTGGACATCCTGTTGTGCTGAATACCTTGGTGTGTCTGTCATCAGCAAGGCTGCTTCAGTCAAGCTTGGACATCTCCACAGTAAAACTGTTTAGGTTAAACCACTGTTGTGGGACTTGATTGTGGGACTTGAATCCACAAGCAAGTTTGGTTCCAGACAGCGCTCTGGATTTGGGGAAAGTCTGTTTATGTCATGGGTTTAGAAGCATGTACGTGGACATTTAGAGTTTTTCTGCTGATGAATGGTAAATTTGTGATTGTTTAGAAAAGAGTAACTCCCTAGATGCTCTCTGTTGGTAAGAGGCAAGAGCTGAACTCTGTAACACAGTGCTGACTCTGGGCCTTCAAGGGTTACAAAGATCGCGTAACAGTGGATAGCTGCCTAAACTATGCTCTGACTACTTACCTGGATGCTCACCTTGTGCATGCTGTCAATGGAGCCTGCATTCAGAACTGAAGACGTGTTCTTGATTTGGTCTCTGTGCAGTTAAAATACCTGGTTGTTTGCCTGTACAAAAGGAATTTTACTTCTGTATTGTTTTGCCACAAGTTAATCGGTCTGTAGTTTTGGAAAGCATTCAAATTTTAGGTAACAAGTTCAAAATCTGAAGCCTCTGAGGGAAACCTGAAGTGTTATTGTCGATACCTTTTGGTGTAATTTAAATACCTCGGTGTAAGATTTCAAGAAGTAAACTTGAAAGTTATATAATACAGAAGTGTTTTGCACTTCAAATATAACTCCTCAGTTAATAACTCATTAGGGATCGGTATTTTATATACACAGTACCAAAGCATATGCCAAAATATGCAACAGGAAACGTATTCAAGAATACAACTGGTGTCTAGAAACATGTTTTTAAACATATGTCTTCTTATATGTTATACATATGGTGTACTTAGCAGTGATTTCCTATTTTGAAGTGCATATACAATGTATATAAATGTTTGTATTATATACGAATTGTGATAGTGACTTTTTGAAATAAATTGTGGTAGCAGCTAGATGTGCATGTATGATGTGTATGATTGGAGAGTACAAATGAGCAAAAAGTGACTCCAATGTGTATAGTTCTTAGAAAGCAGGATCACCAAATGGTCCATCCTGTGGTTTAGCAGGCTTTGAGTTCACATGCTGCCTTGCCCCTGTCTTTCTGTGTAATTTGAGAAAGCTGTGTGTAGTGTTTTTTATCTGTGAACCTGTCCTGGCAGCCGTTCTGGCCTGAGAGTTGCTGTGATACTCGGGATGATAAGGCTCAGCCCCTTTAAAAGCATAGAGCCCCGGTTTTGAATGTGGAGGTCTTTAAAAGCGTGCTGTGGCCTAAACGCTGTGGTCTTGCAGTGAATTGGATGGCAAAGTGCAATGGATGAATCTGAGAAATGCATTCCAAATTCTCGCAAAAGATGCTTATCAAGTTTGTAGTCTGCACTTCAGAGGCAATAAAGCGAGTACCATGTTTCCATGTAACTGAGCAAGGTGCAGATAACTAATGAGCTATCTGAGGTTGTGGGTTATATGGTGGAAACACAGCCCACAGGAACAGAAGTGCTGCTGTGGCAGCAGAGCTCCTCTGTGGTGCGGACTCATCAGCTGTTTCCACGAATTTTACTTGTTTACTGCCCTCTGGCTCAGCTGCATGGGAAGATACCCGAGTGCGCTATCTTCTCGTGCCTCCCTACGGCCTCCCGATCAGATTTCCTGCAAACGAGGGCATGGGTTCCCTCTGGCTGAAGCAGGAATTGATACTGGCCCTGGAAGCGCGCAGCAGGAGTAGGGTAGCCGAGGACAAGTTGCATTTGCTCATCAACCTTTGGAGAACTGCAGACGGACAATTCGGCGTGCTGTGTGGCTGAAGGCCTGTCATAGCAAGCCCTCGCAGGCTGTAATTGCTGGCTTTTGTGCTAATGCATACCTGTGTGAGCCACTCTGTGCTGCCTGTACTGCTGTATCGGGGCGTATAATCTGATTAGAAGAGTTAAACCATAATAACACTTGATAGGATTGGAGGCATTTATGATTTGATTTTTTTGAGGATTTTGGGTATTGGTGGACTGCCGGTTTAAATAAACTAATATAGATATTTCACGCTAAATAAAGGAGTAACAATCTTTCTTTTAATTGCCATGTTCAGTCTTGTCACTCTTCTGTGAAAAACTGCTTGGATTTTTTTTGTTCCAATCCTCCCTAAAATGGCAGAAAGTAGTTAAAAATAAGCAGAGAATCTTGAACAAATTGGTGCTGCCTTCTGCCCACGCTTGTCTTCCTACGCGCCACAAATGAAACTTTCCCTTCTCAAAGGTATGGGCCTGTGTCACAAAGGAAGCTCCTGTTTTTCAAACCATTCAGATTTCCCCATTCTCAGACACGAGAGAGAGACACCATCTAAGTTGAGCAGCTATGATCTAAGCTGATAAAGATAGGGCTGTATGGGAATTTTTTTCCAGTGTAATGTGGTAAACTGAGGTGTTTGGTTCTTATTCTGCAAACCAATGCTAGCTCTGGTTTTAGCATGAACTGTATTGGCAGTTAGAGTACCTGGTAAACCTATATGATTTGTAAAATAAATCCATCTTGGACGTCCTAGAGCCCTGATTCAGGTGTTGAATTAAGCACAGGGAAAACTGTCTGCATGAATGTTGTCACTAAAATTTGGCCTCTAGATGGTAAGAACTATCTGTAAAACTGACTAATAATTCCTATAACTTTGTATCTCTGGGTGAGAATAATGCCATTTCTTCGTCAATACTTTAACTTATTTTCAACTGCACTAGCCGTGAGTTACAGGCCCTGTGGCCAGCCCATTACATTGTTGGTTTACAATTAGCGACAGACAGACGTTAGGTCAGATTGCTACAGAAAAAATAGGAGGAAAACCAAACAAAAAAATAACTCCTCTTGTCTTAAGGATTTTTATCGACAGTATTTTTTTCTCTTACATGTGAGGCTATCCCATATGGCTGCCTGGAGTTTTCACAAGGCTATATGTTTAAAATGGAGGCTTGTTTTGCTTATTGCATTGCTGGATTCAGGTTTGGAGAAGCATTAGGACAAGAACAGGTGGTATTTGAGAGCCACATTGGAAAAACTTTATATAAATGGGCTGGGTTTTGTAGTTCTTGAACCCTCCTTTCAGACTGCAGATTTGGCAGTTAACATATATATTTCATGTTTCAGTAGTTGTTATAATGTAAAAAAAAAACAAAACCACAGGTCTCTAAATTTATGCTTTTTATGTTCACTTCCTCCTTTGTCTTTTTTTTTTTTTTGGTTTTCCCCTACAAATATATGACAAGTTTCTGTACTGTGGCAACCTCAGATCCTTTATCTCCTGCATTTTCTCTTCACATTTTCTGGGGACCTAGTGCATCAAAGTGACTCAGGTTTGCCATGAGAGACTAAGAAAGGTCACATCCGCCGATATACACGCTGCCAGCTGCTAAGCTGGAAAGGAAATACACAGCTTGGTAATGTCAGAGGCTTGGGGTTTTTGTCTCTGTCTGGTTTGGTTTCCCTCTATGAAATGTCAGTTACATTACCTGGCCTCTGCTCCACTGGGATTGCCTGCAAGGAGTCACCACTTTTCGTGGCCAGCCTGTGCAAACAACCCAGAGAGGTGACTGCACGACTCATTCCACAGGCTAAGGCAGAGCTCTGATGAGTGTGTGCTGAAGCATCGTTAGCACTGCTCAAAGGAAGGATCCAAGGGTCTTTGCGAAACCCTAATTGTTTTGGGGTGAGAATTTAACTTGCCTCGGGAACCCCCATGTGGCACTACATGAATCATGCGTGCTTCTACCACAGTGTCTGACTCCTGTGCCCCTAGCCTTACCTGCTACAGGTTTGCAGGGCAGTAACTCTCCCTCTGTGCCAAAAGAGAGAGGGAAGGCAGTAGTCAGGCACTGCAAATAGCCCAGGATCTGGAACACCCCTGGGCAGCCAGTCTCCTAGTCCCTGCAAAATCTCAAGCCTGGCCTAAAGGTCAGCAGAGCTGAAAGGAATACAACTTTGTCTTCTAGTTTCAGGCTGCAGATAAATTATTTGTCCTTAAGCTTCCCCCCCCTCCCCCCCCCCAGTTTTTGGATAGTACTATGTGAGCTGTCACTACTCATACAGTACCCTTCTGGGGAGCTGATGTCCCTGTGCCCCCTCTGGTGCCAGCCTCACCATGTGCTCGCTGCGGTACTGACCTGCACCCCGTGCACCGATGGTTCTATGCTTTCTGCAGCCCATCAGAAGTGCTGTCCTACCACAGGTCATCTGGTGTGGCAAGTCACTTTACCTTGTGAGAGTAACATCTCTCATAGCTGTCACAACGCAGTCAAGGGCTCGTTAAGTAAAGACTGACTGGCAGTTGTTTCCCAAGAACATAGACAAGTTTTATACAACAGAATGTGAATCCTGTAGCAGCTAGCAATGGAGATTTTTACAGTGGGATGAAAACAACTTATGAGATGGAGCTTACAAGGCAATTCATACGTCAGTGTAACAAATATCAGTAGTCATTCAGAAATTACATAGATTTCGTGTGAACAAGCTCGTGTACGACCCATTTGGTCACCCATTATGGGTAATCAGCAAAATCTCAATGTCAGGAAACCAAGTACTCTCCCTGGAAACAATACAATCTTACTGCTGACATTAAGTTTAAGGAGTGTCAGTAAAGCCACTGGACTTGCAAGAACTTATTGTGTGTTTGAGAAGTGGTTACTTTTTGTGGTTGCTTTGTTTTCTTCTTTACTAACCTTTTCCAAAGAACAAAATTTGGACAGTTCAGCAAACTGATGGCTCCCGTGGTCCCAGGCAGAAAGGAAACTGTAAAATGAGGCTCCCAGTGATGTGTATAATATTCAGCTCCTGGCTGGACATCCTTAAGGCGGGCAACAACCCCATGTGATGCTACAGGCGTGGGGATGAATGGCTGGAAAGCTGCCCAGCAGAAAAGGACCTGGGGGTGCTGGTCGACAGGCGGCTGAATATGAGCCAGCAGGGTGCCCAGGGGGCCAAGAAGGCCAACGGTGTCCTGGCTTGTATCAGGACTGGTGTGGCCAGCAGGAGCAGGGCAGTGACCGTGCCCCTGTGCTGGGCACTGGTGAGGCTGCACCTTGAATACTGTATTCAGGGGAGCCCTCATCGCTCCCTACAACTGCCTGAGAGGAGGGGGGAGCTGGGGGGGTTGGGCTCTGCTCCCAGGGAACGGGCGATGGGACGAGGGGAAACGGCCTCAAGGTGTGCCAGGGCAGGGTGAGGTTGGACACTGGGAAAAATTCCTTCCCCGAAAGGGCTGTCAGGCACTGGAAGGGACTGCCCAGGGAAGGGGTCGAGTCCCCACCCCTGGGGGGGGATTTAAAAGCCGGGCAGACGCGGTGCTTAGGGCCAGGGTTTAGTGGTGGGATGGCAGGGTTAGGGGAACGGTTGGACTCAGTGATCTTAAAGGTCTTTCCCAACCTGAACGATTCTATGATTCTTCTCTTTGTCTGTTCATGACTGTGCTATGTCTTCTCTGTTTCATGCAAAGGAGAAGGCACTGCATGATATACATTCTCAGACAACCCCGAAGACCACATTGCTTCCAATGGCCTTTTAACCCTTGAGATTATAATTTTCAACATAGGTTATATGGATTGAAAGACACTGCAGGCCACAGAACCTCTGCTTGTGTGTGAAGATAAAGACTGTAAAGATTCCTAGTTTCTGAAAAGTCTTGGCCAAATATTGTCTAGTTAATCCTGTAGCTGCTGCTGAATAAAACCACCAAACAGTCAGGTGATGAGGAATGAGAACTACTGCTTATTGATGAGTGAAATAGGCATTTTTTTTACCAATAGGTGCAGAGCAAGCTGGAAACCCTACCAGAGAAGGCAGCAGTGTGAAACCTAGCAGCATTGACATACGTCACATAAAGGACTGAGCAAGAAAGGGATTGACAGATGAAATGTCACTACCTTACATCAGAGACAGGTAAGGTTAGCTTTAGAAAACCCCCAAAGATTTTAAAGCCAGATAATCAGGTTGTCTCCGAAAGGGCACTGCTGACTCTAGAGATTTAGACTTGGCATGTACAAATATTGTCTGTGATCTGAGTGTAAACGTTCCATTGTCTAGCAGTATCTGTGTACAACTGTAATGCTTGAACAAGAATGAAAACACGTAGAGACCAATTCTGAAAAAAACAATATTCAAAAAAGATAGAAGGAGATAAATTATTAGTTCCTATTCTGATAAACACGGGGTATCAGATGTCACACACGCTAACTGCCTGCCTGCAACCTTTGCCAGGCTTAGGGTTCCCTTGTGTACCACCTGCCAGTTGTCTTGGTAGGACCTTTGGTGGTCCCTTCTCTTTTGCTGTGTTTACCACCCTGTGCAAAAGTCTGATTAAGGTTCATATTTGGTATTTAGGCAGTGCTAGTTATTAGTGTCCATCTCTGAGCTTCAGGGGAACAGCCAATTCCTCCATCTGGAACCACTACGCTGTCCTTGTCCTTTCTGATAGACATGGTCTAGTCTCTTGCTACTTCTGCACTTCTAAAGATGAAGAAAGTAAGGCATCAGGAGACTAAGTGTGGTGCCTACGTTAGTGACCTCATCTTCTACCACTCGAGTCCTTCTGTTAGTTATAAAATTATCCACCCTAGCTGTTGCTTGGTTATTCAGCAGCATTAGTTATCAGTGACTGGTGTGCCAGATATTCTGGGGTACGGCCTTGAGGTGTAACTTCCAGAAAGTGAGGCTGAATGACTCCGAGCTCCTCAGGACCCCGGCTTTGGCATCAGAACAACTGTCAGGGTCCTAACAGGGTTTGTCTCCTCCACATCAGTATTGACAGTGGGACTCCACCCAGGGTGCGAGTGCACATAACAAAACCTCAGGGAGTTTCTGGGGAGCCTGAGCTGCACCCCTGAGCAAGTCTCTCAGCAATGCACAGAGCTGATCCCATCTTATTCCTGAGCTACGTTTTTCTCTGCACACCTCATGAATAAATCATATGTCAGGGTTGCTCCTAAGACCATTTCTCACATATCCCACAATGTCTGTCAGCGTTGCCAGCTACTGTAAGAGGGTTTGCAGCCCTTTTATGTTTGCAGGAAGCCTACACACTACCTTTTAACGAAACTGGAAGCACCTGACCTCAAAGGCAGGTGCTGGTGGGATGAAGAAGAAATCTTGATTTCAAGAACTTTGGCTTTCCTTCATGAGTCTTTTTTTCTTGCTTTTTTGATGCAGGTGAGACTAAATACCTCTTTTATAGACTCTGAGAAAGACTTGCAGAGCCAGGGAAAGTGTTGGGCTGAATGGGAAGGTGTATCCCCCTCCTGTCCACAATCTCTTTATGGACGCAGTGAGGAACTTCTAAAAGTTGCTGGTGCCTCATTTCCCCACTGTACCAGCCTGTGCTGGAGAAGGGGCAAAGGGTAGGAGAGGGCGGAAGGGAGAGTTTGGTTAGCGTGCTTTTTACAAGAGCAGTAGCAGCACTTGTTATCAGGGCAGATGTGGGCTGTTCTGCCCCCAGGAATTGTGGCTGCAGCCACAGTAAGGTGGAGGGGCTTAGTGTGCTCCGGGTATTCCTTGCCCTATTATGTGAGGAGGAGTAGTTTCAAGTGGTATTGCAGCCAGCATGCCCTGTAACCACATAGTAGGGCTTTTGAAACAAGTTCTCATTATTAGCCTATTCTTATAAGAGCCAGGGGTCACAACAATATCCTCAGAGTTGGTCAGGGCTTGTGTGCAATTCAGAAGTGGTCATAACTGATTGGTCTGCAGGGTATATTGCTGCAGTGTCCGAGTGTTTTCATCGTGGGACTATGCAGAGTTCTGAAGAGGGTGAGACAAAGTTTTGTATGCTGCCGAGTGCACTGTGCTTTCTGTGCAGGGGCAGCACCCGGACTAGTACTTGTACATCTTCCCTGTCTCTGTGTTGCCTGTACATTGTGGTTATGCTGTTTGGAGAAGCTGGTGAAAGGAACCCTGACTTGGGGGACTGAACCCAAGAACTGTGGTGTCCAGGATTCTCTGTGGCCAGTTGGGCAGCGGCTGCAGCAGGCAGCGTGTGTGTGTTTCCAGTGTGGCGTGAGTGGTGCAGGCGGGGACAAGTGTGAAGAACAGTGCTGTGTGGGAAGAGCAGGGGATCTCCTGTGTGACAGAACTACAAAGTAGGAGGCTTTTAGTTTCCAAAACGTAATAGTTGGCCTTCTAGGGGCATTATGTGGGAAAAACTGATGGCAGAGACCGGTGTCTTTTGTCTGCTTGCAGCTCGTTTGGATGTCATGTTTTGATAGAAAAGTTTCACCTAACACATTTAAGAATACAAGCAGCTTTGCAGCATACATTCTTAAAACTAGAAGAGTCTGTTGCATACCAAACCTATCCGATTATTTCCAACCCATGACAGGAACACAGGTAGATCCCTGAATAGACCAAAGACTAAGTGAAAAGTGTTTTGACTGACCTACTCTTTGAGATCCATAGATGAATCTTCAGGAAGAAAGTGTAGAACACTCTAAAGGAAGAGTGATGGTGTCTGTGTGGGAAGTTTGTTCAGGCTTCATTGGCTGTGTATTAAACTAAGGAATTAACAGGAAAACTGTCAAATGCTGTAGGCGTGGCATTTTCTAAAGGCACTCATCTCTTCACAGGTCTGACTCTCCCTTGCCTTGACCTATTTGTCATCACACGGTGTGGAAAAGAATCCGTTAAAAACTGCTTCTGCATCAGAATTCATCTGTTCAGTTGAGAATGAGGTTGGATTTTAAATACCGTCTTCACTGTGCACACATAAAAGCAACCACAAGCTACAGGGATAGGAGCAAACCCTAGGGTACAGTGGAAATAGAAGGGGGGGGGAGAAGCAAGCAAACTGTCTACAGATAAAGCAGAGAGAGAGGTTTCATATGCGTTTGTATAAGGCAAGACATTGGAATTGAAACCCAGCAGCAGGTGATGATTACAGGCAACATTTCTGTGACTAGGTACAATTTTGCTAAGCAGCTGTCTTTTGTTACCTAAATCCCAGGGATCTGGGGGTCAAGGAGCTGTACATGTCTCTAAAGAGTCCATTGCAGCCATTTTCAGTTTTGGTACCAGGGCTGACCTTGCAGCCTGTGGGGAAGACTGTATTCTTTCTCTTGGTTTCATGGTATCCATATGGAGTTACATTGGCTCTGGAAAATAATTTGGGTGTCTCCTGATCCAGAGTGAAGGAAGTTGAAAACAACAGAATCAGAATATCTGAATGGGTGGATGGACTTGCTATACGTTGCAATCTGATAGTTAAATCCTTGAAGGTTTCTAGATTCATTACGAACTCTTAAGTCAGAATGAAATAGTCTGAGAGCGCTGAAGTTCACACACTAATTTAATTTGCATTAATTTTCAATTGTATATTAACTTGCAAAATCCTTTGAAAGTGAAATTACATGATGCTACATCTTGCTTCTAACCTGTTGCTCTCTTAATGGAGTCACTGGTGCATGGTTGCTTGGCCCTGCTGCTTTAAGAATTTGATGACGTAAAATAAAATCCTTTCCCCGCCCCGAAAGAAACAGGAAGAGTGCAGCCACAAAAAGCACAGTGCCTTCCAACAGTGTCAGGGGAGAGAGTACTTTTGCAGCAAAGTCCTGATACAAGCCCACCCTAGTGTGCTTTTGGGTTGTATAGCTCAAGACATGACTGAACAGCCAAGTGGAGTCGTTCACCTCAAGATTCGAGCTTGCTTGCTGCTGGTGATGTGCCTAGGGCAATGGACACAGCAAACTCTGGCAACACCATGCCAGGATGGCGAACTGAGAAGAATCGGTAAAGGCGAAAAAAAATGCTGCCCCAAATGCAAGTCAGTCACAGGTAAGGGAATGATGTGCCCGTCATCTTCCTGTTTGTCGTTATTGTTTTATGTCAACCGGGGTAATCAAGTATGGGGAACGGGGCAGGGTACGTGTGTATGTAAATGTATCTTGAGTAACTGTATATGCAAAACGAAATGGCAAAGGCTTCCCTTCTGCCCCTTAAATTCATAACATGCCTTAGCTGTAAACTTCAGAATGGACTCATGTTTCCAATTTGTTACGTGCTTATACTTGCTATTCTGTAGTAGGAAAGGGAAAGCTAAGTGTCTGTGGGTTGGTCTTGCTCACTAAGGAAGAAGGTGTTCATTTAACGCTGATTCTGAGCCCTTGCTCCATTCAAACATGGTTTCAAAGTTTGTGCCATTCAGACTTCAGAGGGAATACAGGGAGTGATGCTCTCTGTAAGGCTGTTCTTTGCAATTTGTCGTCCTAAAGAGTAGGAAGCATCCCACTTCAATCCCTCTGTTCCGCTGGCCTGTGCTTGTCTCAGAAGTAAATACACAGACAAGGTCTCAGGTGATCATTACTTTCAACAGCCTGTTCTAACTTGTATCCTTGCATGCTCTTTGGGTGGTGGTGAGATGGTAATGGGTTCTCACTTGTCTGTAATTTTAAGTCAAATTAAGGCACTAGAGGTGGAACAGGCTAGCTGCAGGACTTACTGGGTGACATTTCTGTGCCTGTTAGGTGGAAGGACAGGACAGGTGATTCTAATGGCCTCTTCCATGGTCCCAGGAACAATCTTGCTATTCTTCCTAACTTAGCGCTGTCCATAGTGGTAGCCAGAGCTGAACAGTAGGGAACATGTGTGTATGACTGACAGCAAGGAATGCATCTTCCTCTTCTGTTTGTCCCAAAAGAAGGGTGGCTGGAAGCCTTGTCTAAGTAGTATTAGTAGTGCTGTTGTCCTGCAGACAGGAGACATCTGAGAAGTTACATCTTTCATTGGTGCCTAGGTAGGAGGCAGCCTCCCACCTATTAGTAACTTGAATATACCTGCCTCATCCGACAACAAGGACACAGAGTTCCCTGTGGAAGGAGTCCACACATGGGATTTGTGGGAATGAGCAATAAATAGAAGATCTAGAGAGTCCTCAGTAGCATGAAGACCCCAGGATATTTCCCTTCCCACTGCAATAAAATTATTCAGCATGAGGTAGGAGAGTCATTGCTTAGTGGGATCAACTCCAGAATCACCCACTAGTGGTAGGCAGAAAGAAGCATCCCCAAGCTGTTTCCTTTTTGCTGCCAGATTTTATTAAGTTCTGAGGGCCAGAGGAGGCCACTGGGCAGAGGAAGATGTGGGCAGTTCCCTGGTGGCCCTGTACATTCCGTCACTAACCTCAGGAAATAATCTTTGCTTGATCTCTGCTACTCACTGTGGGTTTTCAAGCATGCTGTTGAAATAGCCAGCATTTCCCTCTGTATTTTTTTTCCTTTAAGATTATACAGCTTCCTTGTTGAACAGCACTTTTCCTCTAACTGGTCTCCAGCTGCCTGAAGGACTGCTTGATGCTGTTTACTGATGGGATCAGTATATATGATCAATCCTTTGCTCTCATGAACCCAGGAGCCTCTCAGAATTAGAGATGATATTTTTTGAGTGCAAGCAAAGTTCACGGCAGAACTCCTCTAGAAACAGAAGGACAGAGGGGTAGGAAGGGTGCTGGTTTTATGGCTTGGAATTAGACCCACTTCTGCCAACAGAGTGTAGGAAGCAGCTCCTGTTGTTAGGAAAGGCATGGAAAAGGAGCTCAAGCTTCTCTGGCCAAGGATTTTCTGGGCATCCCTCCTCTAACATGGCTGAGCCTAACTGAGAAGAGCTCTGACAGTGTCCTGAGAGCTCGCTGGATGGCTAGTTAACTTGTAGTGCTTCTCCAGGACACTGGCAGTGCCCTCCTCACTGCCCCTGGTGTCTAAATCTGCACAATGTAGTAAAGCAAACCTGCTGCCTTACTTATGTCTACCATGATCTACACTGGTCTTCCAGATAAGAGAGACGGGTTTTAGTGGTAACTCACGCAGTGCTCAGATAACCATGACTCAAAAATCTGAGTGGTGCTGAATTTGAGTACTCTAGTGACGTCTTTCTGGTATCAATTTTTTCCACTGCAGTACAGTAAGGAACTGTTTTACCTGTGTCAGCCAGTAAGACTAATGGTTAAGTTAATTTCTGGGCTCTATGGCAAAGGCAAGTCTAACTTCTTTCTTCTTGACAGGAAGCAACAGCACATGTCAAGATACTGAGGACCTTGACTGCAGATGTCGTGAGGGATACAGCTGTGTTGATAGCGCATGTCTCTACTGCAAAAAACTGCCTGAATGTGCAGAGGGCGAGGAGCTGGTTAAGCTTGGTAATTAAAGAAATGAAAATGACTCTAAAAGACAGAGTTCAATATAAGTGGTTGGCTGAGCAGCAGTTTCCTTCACTTATTATAATCTGCTTTTGGGGATGCTTGTGGTGCAGGGAGAACTGGCATTTATACTGTGGCCTCTGACTAAAATCCTTGCTTTCCTATTTTATAATTCTTCCCATCCTAAATTTGAGACTTCCACTTCCATGCTCAGACTTTCAGTATTACTTTTCTTCCAAGCTGCTAGAACTGTCATTAGAAGACTGTTTTGCTCTGTGTTGCCTCAACTTTACACCCTCTGCTGTCAGATCAGACTATTCTATGTCTCTTCTGTAAGGGGTCTACCCATACATTTCCCAAA